GGGTCTTTTGGAGGCCTCCTGGGGGCCTCTTGGGGGCTCCTTGGGGCGTCTTGGCGGCCTCTTGGGGGCCTCTGGCGGCCTCTTGGGGCGCTCTTGGGGCCCCCTGGGGCTCGTGGGGGCGGAAAGCTAGATTTTTGATTTTTTGGTTGCCCTCTTGGGCCCCTTTTGGTGCCGTCTTGGGGCCTTCTTGGGCCGTCTTGGGGACCTCTTGGGCCGTCTTGGGGCCATCTTGGGCCGTCGTGGGGCCGTCTTGGGGGCCTCTTGGGCCGTCTTGGGGCGGTCTTCGGGGCCTCTTGGGCCGCCCTGGAGCGTCGGAAAACCCACGAGGCGAATTTGTGAAAACTATACGTTTTAAGAAGGAAAGGAGCAATTTTTCTGCGTCTAGGGACCCTCTTAGGACGCATCTTTGAGGCCCCTTGGGGGCGTCTTGGGCCAGCTGGAGGCCATCTCGGGTGTCTTCGATCGCTCTTGGACCGTGTGGGACCATGTTGAGCTCTCTGGGAAGCCACTTGGAGCGCTCCTTGAGCGCTCTTGGGGCCGTCTTCGGGGCTCTCTTGGGCCGTCTTCGGCGCCTCTTGAGCCGACTTGGCGCCCTCTTGGGCTGTCTTGGGGCCCTCTTGGAGGCTTCTTGGACCGTCTTGGTGCGGTCTTGGGGGCCTCTTGGGCCGTCCCGGAGCGTCGGAAAATCCAGAAGGCGAATTTGTGAAACATATGCGGTTTACGAAAGGAACGGGCCAACTTTTTGCGTCTAGAGGCCCTCTTGGGGCGCATCTTGGATGCCTCTTGGGGCCTCTTGGGGGCATCTTGGGCCGTCTGGAGGCCGTCTTCGGTGTCTTTGATCGCTCTTGGACCGTCTGGGACCATGTTGAGCTCTTTTGGAGGTCACTCGGAGCGCTCCTGGAGCGCTCTTGGGGCCGTTTTCGGGGCCCTCTTGGGCCGTTTTGGACGCCTGTTGGCCCGTCTTGGGGCCCTCTTGGGCTATTTTAGGACCCTGTTGGAGGCTTCTTGGGCCGTCTTGGGGCGGTCTTGGGGGCCTCTTGGGCCGTCTGGGAGCATCGGACAACCCAGCAGGCGAACTTGTGAAACATATACGTTTAACCAGGGGAATGGGCAGATTTTTGCGTCTAGGGACCCTCTTGGGACGCATCTTGGAGGCCTCTTGGGGCCTCGTGGGGGCTTCTTGTGCCGTCTAGGAGGCCTCGTAGCCCGTCTTTGGGCCACCTTGGGCGTCTTGGAGCGCTCGTTTGGCGTCCCGGGGCCATTTCGAGGCCACCGGAGGAGTCCTTGCAGGATTTTCGGGACTGGATGACCCCCCCGGGGGAATCGGGGGAATCGGGGGAATCGGGGGAATCGGGGAATTTGGCCCCCCTCCAAATCGACCGGACCGGGCTCCCGGGGGAGGGGTTTGGGGAGGGGGAAGATCTCACACGCCGATGAACCCCAAGGGGTCGGCGGATTTTGGCCTTTTGGGGCTTTCCTGGAGGCCCAATTGGAGGCCTCTTGGGCCGTCTTGGGCCATCTTAGGGCCATGTTCGGCCGTCTTGGTGGGCTCCTGGTCCGTCTGACGCCGTCGGAAGCAGTTTGGGGGGCCTCTATGGGCCGAGTTGGGGCCCTCTTGGGCTGCTCCAGGGCCGTCTTGGAGGCCATCTTGGGCGTCTTGAAGGCCTCCTGTGCCGTCTTGGGGGCCTCTTGGGGCCGTCTTGGGGCCCTCTTGGGCCGTTCTGGGGCCATCTTGGAGGCCTCTTGGGCGATCTTTCGGCGATCTTTGGGGGCTCTTGGGCCGTCTCGGGCCGTCGGAAGGCCGAAACGAAGGAAAAGTCAAAATCCTTCGGACACCTGCGGAAAATCAAGGTTTTTGGTCTTTTCTGGCCTTCCTGGAGGCCCTCTTGGGGGCCTCTTGGGCCGTCTTGGGCCAGCTTCGAGCCAACTTCGGCCATCTTGGTGGGTTCCTGGCACGTCTGACGCCGTCGGGAGCCGTTTGGGAGGCCTTTCTGGGCCGACTGGGGGCCCTCTTGGGGCGCTTCGGTGCCGTCTTGGAGGCCATCTTGGGCGTCTTGGAGGCCATCTTGGGCGTGTTGGAGGCCTCTTGGGCCATCTTGGGGCCCTCTTGGGGCCGTCTTGGAGGCCACTTGGGCCGTCATGGGGCCCTCTTGGGGGCTTCTTGGGCGATCTTGGGGGCCTCTTGGGCCGTCTTGAGCCGTCGGAAGGCCGAGAAGAAACACATTCCAAATTCTTCAAACATCATAGGAAAATCAATGATTTTGGTCTCTTCGGGCCCTCCTGGAGGACCTCTTGGAGGCCTCTTGGGCCGTCTGGGAGGCCTCTGGGGGGCCTCTTGGGCCGTCTTGGGCCGTCTTGGACTCTCTTGGGCCGTCTTGGAGGCCGTCTTGGTCTTGGACCATCTTGGGCGGACTTGGAGGCCATCTTGGGCCATCTTCGCGATTTTTTGAGGATGTCCCGAGCGAAACGGCCGTTTCAGGCATTGACTGACGCAGTTTCC